AGACCTTCTAGACCCAGCTCTGGGGGCCCAGTTCTGGACATGGATGGTGCTGACGGATGCACAACACTATAAGTGTGTTTAATACCACTGAACTGTACACTTAAAGATGATTAAGATGGTAAATTTTGTTACATGTATTTTAACCACAGATTTTTAAATTGACAAAAAAATATGAATGCAGAAGGTACCTGTCCTGATATAGAACAGTCTCCATAACACATTATAAAGCAAAAAAAAAAAGGCCAAGTGCGGGACAGTGTAACTAGTACACCACCTCCGTATACAGCAGGGAGGAAGACACACACACACACACACACACACACACACCCTTACATCTGCAAAAAGAAACAATGAAAAGATAAACCAAAAACTAATTCAAAACATAGCTACCTACAAATAGTAGATAAACATAAAATTCTTTATACAAGTATCCCAGTAATTAAATGAAAAAGAAATGTCAGAATTAGAATAGAACCATTTTGCAACCCTTAATGAAATAATGATGTAGACAAAGATCATCAACACATGACAAGAGGGAGCAATGACCAAACATTGTGGGATTTCTGAGATGATTCTTGACACTGGGCTTTGGTGAGCCACACACCTGAACATCTGGGTGCCCAAAATAATGGCAGAATGGGGAGGGGAAGGGAGGGAGTAGGCAGCCTCAAATGGTGTGGTAAGAATGACAGGTTCACTCAAATAAAGGAGAGGGATGGGCCAAACCCTCACCTGCTGAGGGTTGAGGAGAAACTGTCACTTATTCATTAGCATCAGCAGCATGAGAAGTGTGATCTCAGCGAGAGCAGCCAGTATACCTGGATGACCTGCAGGAGCAGCCAGTGAGCCGGTAAATGGGCTCAGGGAGTTTAAGGAATGTGTGCAAGTTCACACTATTAATTAGAGGCAGAGTCGGAAACCCCCACCCCACTGTGGTGAGAGGAGCAGTGGCCCTCAGACCCACAAAAAGGCCCTGCCCTGAGCCCTACACTTGAGAGGACCCTGCTCTTGCCTCCTCTCACTGTGACACACACAATCCCGCCGTGAAATGCCGAGTCTGTGGGGCTAAGAGGAAGTACCTACCCAATCCCCTGCCTCCTTCTAGACCCTGCTCTGAGGGCTCAGGTTCCCTGCCCAAGTGGTCCCAAGCCCAAGCCCAGGGCCACTTCTCCCAGGCCATCCTTCCAGACCAGACCCACAGCCAGTATGCCCGCTTCTAGGCTAAGGGGTATGGACTGAACGTGGACATGCAGGTTAAGGGATCCTAGGCCCGTGCATAACCCTCAGTATGAGAGAAATCCAGGGTAGATGATGGGCCAGGGCCAGCCTCCCCACCGACATCTTCCAGAGCAGAATTCTAAGGCATCTAAGAATTTCTCATTTGAACCTGGCCTCCAGGTAGGTCATTGTGAAGGTATACTCACGGAGGCTGGAGGGCAGAACTTGCTTCACCTACTCATTTAACCACCATTAGCTTGATGCATAGCCTATTTAGCCCTACAGCATGTGATTTCCACTTGTCCTCGGGCCTCAGGCCCTGTATAGAAAGAAGTAAGTGGTTTATGGAATGAGTATCATTCTTCAGGCGAGAAGCAAAAAGCAAACACTGTCCTTTGTCCCCTGGCCCACGAACCCGTTCTTTGGACATATTCATTCCCTTCTCTGCTGAAATCCAGCAGGTCCCACAGCTCTTCTGATTTCTCATAATCAGAACACTCTCTAAGAATTAATATTAAAACCTCCTCTTTTGTTCAAATTAAAACTTCTCCCTCCTCCAGCTGGGAAATGTGCTCCACTAATGGAATACAGGCCCTTCTCTGGTCTTATTCCTTGAGTCCTGAGCCCTGATCGCCTGCTGCTATTTTGGCCCTTTTCAGGTAGGATATGAGGTGAGGAGACAACAGATGAGATCCTTAATAAAAATCTGTGGGAGGGAGGAAGGGAAGTGAGTGAGATTTGCATACTTTAAAGAGTGTCACAAATGTATTGTCTTTACTGGAGTAGAATGGAAGAACTAGGGCACTGGGGAGGGAATTTGGGGACTCGGTTCTTAGTGCAGCCCTCCAGTCAATTAATGTTCCATTCCCCTTCAGCTTTTATTTGGCATCTGAACAGCTCTGCAGGATTCTTTTTAAAATATATATATATGTGAGTTTTTTATTGCATTTTAGAGAGAGAGAAAGAGAAATATTGATGTGAGAGTGGAACATCAATCGGCTGCCCCTTGCACCACCCTCCCACACACTGAGGATCAAGCCTGCAACCCAGGGATGTGCCCTGCATGGGAATCAAGCTGGTAACCTTCTGGTGTGCAGGACAACGCCCAACCAACTGAACCACACAGGCTAAGGTCTGCTCTGCAAGATTCTACTGGAAACAGCCCTCCAAGGAATTGGAGTCCCCTTCTTTTTGCCAAAATAGCTTAAACAAAGGGCTTCTGGTGGAGATGACCAGAGCAGAGCATTCCTGGGTAAGGCAAGATGCCCCGAACACATTTCAGAGCCAGACTCCTGGCTAGGAGGGTAGACACATGCAGAGTGAAAGGGAGGGAGAGGGAGGGAGAGATGATAAGAACACACCACGTCCAAAAATCAGATACCAACAGGAACAATACCATGAAATAAAGGAAGACTGTTTGTCAAAAAACAACTCTGTTGCTTTGCCTGTCAACTGAGACCAAGCCACTATAAACACACACAAAGCCAAAGCTGTGAAGGGCACCATGCCAAACACTGTCCCCAAGCTGCATCTTCTGGGGCTCTTGAATTTCAAGGACATGGGCCACCTGTGACTGATAGCTAATGGGTTACCAGGCCAGCTCAAGCCTGCAATGCCCACACTGGGCTTTGCATGGAAGGGCTCAGTTATGCTCTGGAGCATCAATCTCAAACATTTGAAACCTTCTCCAAGTCCCCTTAACACCTCCTAGTATCCTATTCAGGAATCTATTTTCCACAAATTCATCCAGATCCTCCCTGAGCCTAATTACACCTTCTCCCTGCTCCCAATCTGATGGAAAGAGTTCTGGAAGATTAGCACATTTGTTTCGGTCTCTTTTTATTTGTGCTAAAACAATTCCTTCCAAGTTCCTGCAGCGGTCCCCAAGTTCCAGCCCACGGAACACCAGAACCCCCATCTCCATTCCCTAACTCCCTTCATGGACATCACCCTTAGCTTCTCTCAGAGTGCGTATTCCAAGCTACAGGAGCCTGGGGGTTTTCCTTCCCACATTTTTTAATTATAAAGTAATGCATGAATATACACTCCTTGTAAAACATGCAAACAGGACATAGGCAAAGGAAAAAAATGGAAGTTCTCTTTTACTCTCTGCCCTCCCCAACCCCAGCCCCAGGTCTCTCCATATAGGTAACCATGGAAAATGGTTTCCTACAAACTTTTTTTCCAGGCACTTGTATACCTAGACATAGATCAGAATTTTTTTTCATAAATGAGATCATGCTATACATATCATTCTGCAACTTGAAAAGCTTATTTTTCAGACTATTCTCATACGAAATTGTGCAGAGGCCACACTACTGAGGGTGTTTGGAGAACAGCAGCTTTGGGTAAGTATTTCCAAACATAATGGGGGAAATAAAATAGCGTGCAAAGTTTTCCAGAAGCACTTTTATAAGCTTTTCTGAGTCTCGCTTTATCCAACCATTAAGTGTATGTTCTTCCCAGCACAAAATATCCCTGTCTCCTTCCTATAAGACATTGCCAGAATTCAACTTGGTCGCCCTCCCAGGTTTGGTCAATACAAGGAGAAAAGGCCCGGAGTCTGTCTCTTGCCTTTCTCCATAGCAATAACCAGAACAGTGCCAGAAAGCACGGGATTTGGGGAAAGCGTACTGGAGGTCAGTCCTGAGTCGCCACTGAATTGGGGGCCCCTCTCCGGCCCTCAGTTTTCTCTGTTAAAGGAAAAGTAATACCCTAATAGTTATCGCTGGAAGGGTTTTAGGATCAAAAGAGATGGATGGTAGGAATGCAGGTTGTGTGTTCTAGAGAGCTACTACAGTCGTGTGAGTCGTAATAATTACTAAATGCGGAAAAGGTCATTTCGAGCGGGTTGCAGAAATAAGGTGTTTGGCAGCTTTTACTTGCGCGTTACGCGTTTTCTAGGGGAACTCGACCGCCGAGCGCGGCGACGCTGCCTCAGCCTTCGCTGGAGTGGCCAGGGCGCCACCTGCCGGCGCAGGAGGAGGGAGCCGCGGGCCCGGGAGCCGCGAGTCCGGGCACCGCGGGCTCGGCGACCCGGCTGCGTCTCAGACCCACCGCGGGTCCATCCGATCCGAGCAGGCTCCGCGTCTCCAGGTGGCTGGGGAGCCGCAGCCGAGGCTCCTCCGCGGACCCAGACCAAATGCCGGACAGAATTGCCCCTCCGGTGTCCCTGGGCAGCCGACAGGAGAGGCGGGGGACCCGGACGCACGGCCTCGGAAACCCGGGAACCTGCTGCCCAACACAAAGCCGCGGGCGCGCAGGTGAGCGCGGCGGCGCCACGTGAGCCGGGACCGCCCGGGGAC